ACTGTCTTCTGACCTTTGGTGTAGAGCTTAGATAGAGTTATTACCTTAGCACCAGGTCTGGATCTATGAAGTTCGGATTCCTCCAGGTGGGTGTTGTTTGGATCTGTCTGCTGTGCTCCACTTCTTTCTGCTGCAGGTGTTAGAGTTGAACCCTTTGTGTCTCTCTGGCAAGATGTTCTGCTCCTGAGTCAGCTGGGTGGGATCTTGCCTCTAGCCTCTTTGCAGGGAGTTCTGCTGAAGGGTTCTGTGCTAGGCCTACATGCAGCCTGGGTCAAATGAAGATCCCCGGGCTCCGGGTCGTCTCATTCACTCGCCACACCTGCGCTCTGGGTCTCTTCAGGATCCCGCGGCCTGGGTCGTCTCACTCACTCACCGGGCCTGCGCTCTGGGTCTCTGCAGGCCATAACTTTACTGAAGCTTCTTTTCTAACCAAATTTATAATGTTTTCAATCATTCTTCTGGGCTCTTTGCTCTTAATTCTCAACATAAATCTGGCTAAAAGCCACAACAATAGCCATATCACCACCATCTAAACATTATACTGCCTTGAAATTTCTTCTGCCAGATTAATTAGTGCACCACCTTTAATCTCTTTCTTGGGCAAAGTCTCTGGACACAAGAAAAGTGCAGACAAATTTTCTGCCAAGGAATAGCAACATCATCTGGAGTCCAACAAACAATGTAGTCCTTTCCAGCAGAAACTTCTTGAGTTTGGTCTTTACTGGAAACATTTCTATCACCTTTCTGGTCTTCTGAGCTCTGACTAGACTCTCCCATCAGGTACAGTTTAAGGCTTTCCAAGGCTTTTCTTTCATCCAGCATCTCTGAACCTTGCCAAATTCTCCCCATATGCCAATTCCAAGTCTCCAGAGCTACATATTCAGATACAGTCATTCAGCAGCCCCACTCCCAGTACCAAAATCTGTATCAGTCACTGTTTACTAGAGAAACAGATATACTACATAACATACAAATATATAAGAATTTACAAGGTTAGCTTACAATGTTCACCTACAGAACTGGGTGAGGAAAAGTACAGAATGTCTGTCCACACACTGGAGATATAAAGATAAGGGAGCATATCAGGCATATTCAGAGGTCTGAAACTCACTGATGTGTCCTACATGAGTCTATATCAGGAAGCCAATGGCCTGTGATGGAAGCTGAAAAGTATATGCTGGAAGCTGAGGAGTCTACAGTGGGAGCCAGGAGATGACATCTAAGATGAAAACAAAGACTGGAGTTCCTCTGATGAAACAGAAACAGACCCTCTATATCATCAAGGTGGCAAACCCTAGCATGTGGAATTTCTGAGCCAATTTAGTTTTCTTACTCAAGTTGACACAACCAATCAACCATCATACTATGCTTCTTTCACTAGAAATTTTTGGGCCTTACTGTCTTTTCTAGCCAGAAGTGAAAAAGAGTTTTATTTGAGTGCTGGTGTGAGGGGTGTTGGCATCCATCTATAAGGTGCTTCTTTAAGAACTGGATGAAAGGGGGCTGGTGAGATGGCTCAGTGGTCTAAAGCACCTACTTAGAACAAGCTTGGCAAGGCATCAGGGACCGCGGTTCAATCCCCCAGCACCATGGTGGGCTGAGCTGGCCACACACACACACACACACACACACACATAAATAAAAAAAATTTAAAAAATAAAAAAAAAAAAGAACTGGATGATAATCATACTTTCCTTTGCTGGGACCTTCAAGGCCACGTGAGATACAAGACATACGCGACATCCCAACTGAAGCCCTCCAGGACATCCACACCCCACCCCCATGCAACAGGTGTAGGGGCCGCGTCCTGCAGGTCACACTGTAAGCCATGGGTTTTAGAAAATATGTAACTTAAAATGACAACCACAAAATATTCTGAATGACAGCAGAGAAATCAAAGAAAGCTCCACCCTGAGGGATAACTTACACACTGGCTCTCTCACCAACTCTTTCTTCCTACAAAAGCTGAGAAAGGCTGCGCAACCTGCTATCATTCAATAAAGAACTCCCACCTCCTCTGCAGACCTGGGAGGAAAAGTGGGTCTGCAGAGCCACATCACTCAAAACCTGGATTCCTACTGAGGAAAACAATATGTAAGAGCCATTTCAAAGCCTACTTAATTTACACTATTTCAGAAGAAAATAATCACCAATAAAAAAGTCCTTATACAAACAAAAAATATTATCACAATATGTCTTATATTAAACACAAGTGATATTACAGGAAGATTTCATGTAACTGGCATAAACATAGTTTCATTTATTCCAAAAGGATGTTAGAGACAGTATGATGTCAGGACAATCCCTTGAATTTTCTTTTCCCAAAAACATTTAATGGTCTAAGCATTTAGTTAACTAAAGACACTCACATAAAACCAATATTGAAGATAAATTAATACTGCAAAGCAAGTTCATTCACACTAGCAAGCTAGCACATTAGTTTTAATTGTTAAAATGTCATTGGCTTTATATAAAAATTGATTGTATTGTGGTAAAGTCATATGCTTTTTTTATTAAAGATTCATCCTGCTACAGTTGTAATACTACAAAGTACAAAACGGACAAGGAAATTTGCAAAACACTGATAAATCTGGAAGAGATTCAAATTACCTTTTCAAACTCTTTAGAAATCTAGCGTAAGTTAAAATAATGTTCTAACTTACCAAAAACCAAAAACAAGATTTCCAAAACAGATGTTCAAACACTGACTTTGCATGCAGGGCTGTACACCAATGAAGAGCTCTGCTTTCTTTTTTTTTTTTTTTTTCAAAATTTTATTGATAAACAGCAATGAGACAGTTTCAAATCAAATTGGAAGTACAGTTTCAACAAATAATACACTGCATATATTCTTCTTAGTGGTTAATTGCTGTACAAGATGCGGATTTGAGATCCTATTTATAAACACCATTAGAACAAATCATTCTATTCATTAAGAGAATGCTACTATATGTCTATCCTAACCACTTTGAATACACAGATACAAAATGGACATTCATCTGTGTATTCACCTATTTTTTCTAAGTTCCGTTATTGAATATTATAGGTGTGTAAACTCAGCAAAATATTAAAAAAGAGTCCAGTAGACCATAATAGCATTGGGTCTTCTGTTTAACTGGCAATGTCAGAAATTATTGACCTGAGTCCCCCACAGCTCAACATAGCAGCATGGCTTTACTTCCTATATTTTGTCTTCATACTTTTCCACTCGATGGTTAACACCAAGGTAAAGCAGGACCTGTGCAATAAGAGTTGTAGCTTTTTGGTCTGAGAAGGTCAGTGAAATCCCCTCAGGATTTATCCTGAGATCCTGTACCTCAGATTGTCGAACTTTGTCAGTGCAGCCATGTGGATGAGTTTCGGCCATTACTTGGCCAATGTGCTCTCTGTGAAAGCCTGAGAGAGTGT